AATAAATAATATTATGATAAATGGAGAAAAGATTGAAGTTGTCAAAGACTTCATTTTACTTGGATCCACTACCAACCAACACTCATGGAAGCAGCAGTCAAGAAATAAAATGATGTATTTTTCATTGGACAAATCTGACACATAAGACCTCTTTAAAGTGTTTAAAAGCAAAGATGGCAGTTTGAAGTCTAAGGTGCGCTTGATATTATTTTTAATAGCTTCATATGCATGTGCAAGTTAGACAGTGAATAAGGAAGACTGTAGAATTGATACATTTGAGTTATGGTTTGGAGAAAAATAATAAAAGTACCATGGAGTGCCAGAAGAACAAACCAATCTGTATTGGAAGAAGTACAGCCAGAGTGCTCCTTAGAAGCTAGAATGGGAGACTTCATCTCTCAATCTTCTGACATATTATCAGGAGGGCCCAGTCTCTGTAAAAGGACATTATGCTGGGTAAAGTGGAGGATCAGCAAAAAAGAGGAATACCCCCCAATGAGATGGATTGGCACAGTGGCAGCAGTAATGGGCTTAAAGCGTACCAATGATTAATTATAAGGATGGTGCAGGACTGGGCAGTGTTTTGTTCTGTTGTTCATTAAGTCACTATGAGTCAGAACCAACTCAATGGCACCTAACAATAGAAACAACATTAAGGGGGAAGCGGATAGTGTTATCTGCAAGGAGACTTGAGTCCTGAATTGCTTGGTAACATCAGACAAGTGACTTTATGTCCCTGAGCCTCAGTTTATCTGCCTGTAAAATGACATTCAGAGACGATAGCAGTCATCATGGGCCAGAGTAATCAGCTTTGTCGGGGGAGTGGGAATTTCATGGGCTCTAAAAGCCAGGCATGATTATGAGGAAGGATTTCCAGGAAGGCAGGCTTCAAACTGTTTCTTTTTGGCTTGGTCATGGCTGATGAAGTGAAACTGGAGTGGACCAAAACGTGTAAAATGTGGCTGAACTGGAGTGTTAACTACTAGAAACTTAATCTAGCAACCAAATCTCTTGATGAACATAGTCGGAAGCAATGGTGCCCCCCTCACTGCTTTGAATGCATGTTGTCTCTAAAGCCTTGACAGTAATTCAGTGTCCTGAAAGCGCTCACCACGCTGGTTCTGAGTTTCCTATTCCAGGGCTTTGACCTATAATTTCTTCCATTCTGGTTACTGTCTCCCTTCACCCCCATTTTAAAAATGTGGGTCGGCTCTGATTTCACTTCATTAGCTGTGGCTGAACCGGTTTGAATTAGTCCGAGGTCCTGCAGGGTATGGGGTGGGTAGGAGTATGGGGGGGCAGGGTAGACAGTCGAGCAGAAAGGAGAGGCTGTGAAGTCTCCAGACTGGGAGGATTGGGTTCATTTCACATCCCTCAACCCACTGCCATTGAGTTGATTCTAACTCATAGTGACACTTGTGGGTAAATCTTGACAGAAGCAGACTGCCACATCTTTCTTCTGCAGAGAGAGGTTGATGGGTTTGAACCACTGACCTTTTAGGTAACAGATTAGTACTTTGAACACTGTACCACCACGGCTCCCTAATCCCCCTCCGAATACCAAGTGACTGAAAATGTGTTCTTTACTCTGAGACCAACACGGTGGGAATGAAAACAGCTTTCTTCAGAGCCAGCTAGCACTTGATCTGACTTAGAACTCTTTACTCACTGGCGTCTTCCCAGTGAGAGAATCAGCAGTCATTAGTTCTGACAGGAGAACTGCTCAGAAGGCTGGAATGAGCCCCTGGGCCTTTCTGAGGAATTACCCTGAAGAGAGAAACAGGCAGACCCGTGGCCAAGGACACGCACATTGACTGTCAGGGTCGGGCTCTGGGGCCACGCTATCCTTGCTGGCCCCACAGACATTTAGAGAGACCGACAGTCAACTGCCATTTAAACAATTAAATACGAGCTGGAAGGAGATCATAGGGTGGACACAGATGGTAGGGACTGACTCTGCCCCAATGGTCCCAGAGGACTTCCTGGAAGAAAAGTCATTGGGCTGAGGACCTAACAGTTGAGGAAGCATTTGCTGGGAAACAGAATTCCTGAGTGAGGGAACAGGATGTGTGAAAGTCTAGAGCTGAGTAGGTGGCTTCTCCGGATGCTGGAAGCAGGACCAGAACCAGGTTCCAGGTTTCTAGCCTCAGATCCTTTCTGCTGAGATCCCCAGCTAGCCTGGAAAAGAGAGGAAGGCTGTGTCCTCAAGCCTCTGAGAACATCATGCATACCTTTCATTTTGGACCCAGAAAAGGTTGTTTATTCTCCTGGTGTCATGGCAACTACCGAAAGCCAGTGATAGCTGAAGGTGCCCAGGTGTGTGTCTATCCCAGGTGTCTGACAGGTACACACATGTGTGGTAGGAAAGGAGGTCTTGGACTTAACCCAAGTGAACTTGGGTTGTTTTCAGTAGGTAGAATGACTCCCCTCCATGAACAGAAATGTCACAAGCACCAGAGCCCCCCCAGTAACCTGGGACAGAAGTGGGAAGGGCTTGACTTGCATTAACCACACCATTAATGCTTACTTAAGTGCCATCAAGTCAGTTCCGACCTCTAGCAATCCTGCATAGGGTTTCCAAGGAGAGACTGTTGGATTTGAACCACTGACCTTGTGGTTAGTAGTCCAGTGCTAACCCAGCAGCACCACATCAAGACTCAATGCTCGCTTGTTAAGTGCTGTTAAGTCAGTTCCACTCATAGTGAGTCTGTATAGGGTTTCCGAGGAGCGGGGTACATATTCACGGTACAGAAGGAGAAAATTATGCGGAAGTATAGTACACTAGAATCAGCCACAATCCCTGAGAAGGGGCATGGTTGGCCCCATTTTTCCACCCAGGAAACTGACCATCATGAAGTCATGTACCAAAGCTGTACATGTAGAAATAATAAGAGCAGCAGTGTTGTTTTGAGCACTGTTCATTTAGTCCTCAGTTCACGGATGTGGAAACTGAGGCTCAGAGAAGTGGAGTCACTTGTGCAGGCTCCCATGGGGGTGTGTGTAGGAGGGGACTGTCACCCCTCTTGTCTGACCATCCACCAAAGATTCCCACTGCAGCCTCAGAGAAATCGGTATATTCTAGAATATTTTGCCTGGGCTGCCAGGTTCCATTTCATTTCCTGCAGGCCTTCCAATTGAAACAGGACGCTGCCTTTTGAAAGTCTTAAAAATAAAATGAAACCCGCGGCAAGTGCCCATTAGGAGCCGCCCAAGGTTCCGGGAGTGGGCTTGATAGGGGAGGGAAAAGGTTGTGGAGTTGAGTCCCCCTGGGCCGTGAACTCCCATCTGCACCCTGGACCGCCCCCCCCCCCCCCCCCAGGTCCCTACCCCTGAGTCTGGAGCAGCCTGGGGAAGGGCGTTCTTACCAGGGTGTCAGAAGAGTTCTGTTCTTTCTAGAAAAGACGGGGATTGGAAGGCTTGGTTTTGTGTAGGCCTCAGGTCTAAATATAGACCCCTCTGTAGCAGCTTGGCGATTTAGGCAAAGTGGGCTCTGTGCTGTGTGTGAGTGTGCGGGGGAGCACATTTGCATGTACTTGCACCGGTGTGGAGGTGGGGCCCGCACTATTTTTTTTCCTGTGAATATTTTTATCCTTGGGTAGGAAACAGTCCTGGGGTCCTATTGTTTGAGTACAATGGGCTCTCATTTTCCAAGGGTGTTTTGTTGTTTCCCCTTGAGGAGTACAGGAGGGAGGGAGTACAGGTGGGGGGTGGGAGTCTGTGGTGGGTACTGAGGGTCAAGACCAGTCTGGTCTTAGGGGAACTGGCAGAGGGACCCCTCACACCCGACTTCATCTGCTGGGGAGACCCATAAGTAGGGTGAAAGAGTCAGGTAGATTTAGGCACAATTAAAATAACTTCTCCCCTTATTGTTGTTAAGTGCCATGGAGTCAGTTCCTACTCAGAGATCCGGTATAGGGTTTCCAAGGAGAGGCTGGTGGATTTGAACCACTGACCTTTCAGTTAGGAAAACTCCAGTGCTTATCCTACAGAGTCCCACCAGGAGTCCATTCTTATGATAAAATGATTCTTTCTGTAAAAAACACCATGTTTATTGTAGAACAATTAGAACTGACTGGGAAGCAGAGAGGAACTCATCAGTCCCACCTGGAGTCTGTGTCCATGGTGGCAGATCTTGTATCTCCCTTCTGGAAACTTTCCCACGATAATCCTCTCAGGGAGTGTTGGTTTTAAGCCTCCCTCCGGTAAGGAGTCCACAGAGCTGGGAGGCTATGACATAGACGCTGAGTGATGGTCATGGTGGCTCCTATATGTTGTGCTGAGTGCCTGGGATCTTGACATGCACCACCTCGTGGACTCCTTATTCCACCAAGTCATTACTGTCACTCTCCCCATTTCAGTGGTAAAATGAGGCTCACAGAGGTAAGGTGATATGACAAGCTTAAGTCACACTGGGAGCCAGAGGAATAGCTAGTGCTTTACAGGAAAGCCTGGGTGTTTCTGGAGCCCACAGTGGTCAGTAGATCACCTACCAAATGTCAGTCACCCCCAGACTGAGGTCCTCTCCACTATCCCCCAGATCAGCCTGTCTGACTTCAGCTTTCATAGCCCAGAGGCAGGGAGACGTGCCTGTGTCTGTGGGGCCGTGTGCCTGTGTCTGTGGGGCCCGTCAGGGAGAGCAGGGGCTGGGACTTTACCTGCCCCAGACACCATTGTGAGAAACCGCCCCAGACCCACCCACCTGGCTTTCTATGGAACCTTGCCTGACTGTGGCCAGGGCAGAATGGAGGTCCCTGGTCCTGCATTGCCTCGCCGGCCCTGAGTTCAAGTCTTGACATGATCGCTGCTCCTCCTGGACCCTGGGCAAGCCCCTCACTGCCTTGCCTCACTTTCCTCATCTGCCAAATGGGTGAGATACAGTCTTGTCTCACCCGGTGAAGGGTGTCCCCAGCAGGGTAAGTAGGTGCTGCTGGGGACGCTACCTCCCCTCCAGGCAGTAAGGGATCCCAGACCTCACTTTCTCTACCCCTTTCTCTCCCCAGGTACCACTGGATGAGCGAATCATCTTCTCTGGGAATCTCTTCCAGTATCAGGAAGACAATAAGAAGTGGAGGAACCGCTTCAGCCTGGTGCCGCACAACTATGGCCTGGTGCTCTATGAGAACAAAGTGGTGAGCCCCCCCCCGGGGTGTCGAGGACTAAGCCCCTCAACCACTGTACACCCCAACTCCTAAATCACCGCATGCCTCCCCCACTACTAAGTTCCTGCACACCTCACCCCTAGACCACTGCACATCTTCACCTTGAATCACTGCATGCCCCTCACTCCTGAGCTTCAGCTCTCTCCTTTGGCTCTCATCAGCACTTCCCCATTGTCCCCTCCTCCCAACTTTCTTGCTCCTCTGGGTTTCCTCTCTGAATTATATACCACCTACCCAAGCACCCAGCTCCTTGAAGTCACCTTTGACTCTGTCTCTCCTCTCATAACCAACTCTAGGTCTACCCATCCTCCTCGGTCACCTTCACGTTACTCCGGATCCCTCCTCACCACCACTTTGGGCCTTGCTCTCCTCCCACCTCAGCCTGCTTCCTGGCTGGGCTTCCTCTGGCTCTTCCCTGCTCTTCACAGTAGCCACAGTGAGCTGTTGAACCCATGTGATGTCTGCCCTCTAGCTTTGCTCACTGGGTTATGGTCCCATCTTTTCCCTCCCTGATCCCTCCCTTTAAGCCCCCATCCTGCCATGGGTAGATAAGAGTCTGAGAAGAGTTGGGGGGGCGGGGGAGATTGTTTCTTATCTTTGCTTTGGGTCCTTAGGGAAACCCCACCTGGTTAAGTAACAGAATTTCTTTTCTTATCTAATGTTTCTCCAGAGCAGCCAGATCAGTTTACCTCCGTTTTAAGGCAAACTAAAGTTACAACAACTGAGTCTAGAGCTACCTCATGCCCCAGGGCTGTGATTTTCAAATGATAACTCCCATCAGAATCACATGGGAGGCTTCTTAAAAAGCAAATTGCTGAGTCTACCTCAAGAACTTCTGATTCAGGTCTGAAATGGGACCAAGAATTTGCATGTTTCAAAAGTTTCAGGGTGATGTTTCTGTTGCTAATCTGGGAACCTTATTTAGGAATCATTGCCCTAAAGGCTCTGAGCCACTTTTAAGAGCTGTGCCAAATAGTGACACCTAGCGGCAGGTACAGCATTGCAGCCCTGCTGTATAAGGAACTACTTTTCCCCCACTGGTTTAAGAAAACAGGATCCAATTCCTGTTCTCCTCCCAGGGGGAATTCTGTGATACTCAGAACATAGGAAATTGGTGGGTAATTCAGCAGAATGGTTAAAGAGTCTAGGTTCTGGAAGCAGACAGACCTGGTTCATGTACTAAGTCTGCTACTGACTGACCAATTTTGTGTATTTGTGGCTTATAATAGTTCCACCTCTTGGATTGAGAGAATTCTGTGAAATGAAGTATGCAGTGACCGTAGCACAGTGCCTGACATGTAATGCACATTCAACTAGTGGAGGCTGCTAGCAATACAGGCAGTTGTTGTTGTTGTTGT